CAGCGGATGTAATGACGGGATTGCAGGACTTTGCTTTTCCTATTTAGGATATTTTTTATCTTCAATATTCATTCCTTTAGTACATTTGAAATAGTGTATGCCAAAAGTATCGTGGATGAATCGCTGGGAAGCATCCCGTCGGATACTTTCTATTAATATTATTTGATATGTAAATCAATTTTCTCATAATATATTTAAATATATTAGCCATTTACTTTGATCGACTTTATAATTTGAGTAATTTGGCATTTTTATATTTAGCGAATATCAGATTGAGCGTAGGAGCAAATCTATACGCATAGATTCAGCTTCCAAATTAAAAAAGAAGCTTTAGGAAATTTACTCTTTTACAAAATTAATCAAACTAGCCTATTTGGGCTGATTAATCAAAAATTACCTTTACTACATGTCTGATTGGAATGAGGCTAGACTCGAACCCGCATCTCTTAAGAGAGCTTTCGATGCCAAAATCACTTGGGTCATTTCTTTAGGCAAGCAACCCTTGTTAATGTGTGTAGGAGACAAAGCAAGCCTGAAGTCCGATTTTAATAAATATAGTGGAAGAATATGCCGTGTGGAATCATTAAGCAAAGACTCAAACTTCTCCAATCAGATGTTTTCTTTTATTTCCTACGATGTAGTTTTTAGTCATATATGCTAAATGTACATGTTTAGATGGGGTGTGACCCTTGTTTGCCTTCATTACTTAGAGCTCATGTCAAAGCTTATCTCCCTTAGCTATTATTTTCACTTATACATTCATTCTTTTAGTGCATTTTGGGTAATGTATGCCAAGATTATAATAGATGAAGCTACGAGAAACACCATTTCGGACATTCCTAACTATCATTTAGTATGGATATTTAAAAAAATATATTTTACTATATTGGTCATCTATTTCGGTGGGCTCTATAATTTGAGCAATTTGATTAAATAGTACTAAACGTGGAGACAAAGTTATATATATGGAATTATCTTCCTATGTAAAGCAGAATTTTTGGTAAGTTTGATATTTCAAGAGTTTCACCATATTATTCTATTTGAGTTGATTAAATGCAAATCAGTTCTAATAAACCTTTTGAGTGTTCTTTAGAATGAGCAGAACTTGAACACAAATCCCTCGGGATAGATCGTGACGCCTTTATGGAGTTTTAACTTTGCTCATTTCTGGTTTATAAAAAGGCAGTAGCGATTAAAATTATTGTCAAAATGTGGTCATTGCTTTTATTTGCATTGGCTCTTCAGCCTCAATGTGATTCTCTACCATCTCAGCAGACATAATAATCTGTAATCATATCTAGTACCTTTTAAAACCAATCTGTAGGATCACATTATTTAGCCTGGAGATGATAAAAAGTGAGTTGTAGCGATCAAATGTCAACGTCTCTTCGAGGTTGTTTTCGACTCACCACTCCAGAATATTAAGTAGAATTTCCACATTCAGTTTATGTAATAAAATTTCCAATTCGAATGCATCACTGATTTATGTTAACTGATGGTGATAATACCTGTAGACATATAGCATTCACTTTATTGTGGCTTTCATCGTAAGTAGAGTGCATAATTCCCACTGCGTCAAGTGTTCTTTATGATTTGCTCTTGGCCACATTCTTTTTCATCACAGGAATCCCTCGCTCTTCAGTGCTCTTGGTGCAAAATCTACATCCACAATAAACAGTCATGCTTCACTTCTGATCTGCTAGAAGAGCAGTGCTACATGGGGATAAACGCCAGCTTGGTGGTTCCGCCATCTTGGATCATCAAAATGCCGAAAAAAGTGAGTATAATTTATGCAAACTTTACAAACGAGATCACCTTGAAAGACAATTCAGCGCTTACGCTTGTATACTTGACCCAAAACTTATTCAGTACATCGATGGAAGTACTAGTACCAAACAGAAGTGATTAGACTATCGACTTCCAGTCTAATTGAAATGTATTCGAGGCATTACACAACGAGTTTACTAAGCATTAAACAAGTTCCATCTTCGGAAAAGTATTTTAAAGAAGTCTCTCCGGTGACGATAAATGGTCTTGCACAAGGCAGCAGGTAAATGAAGCCAAAATGAATAGAAATCAGTCTCTTCAAGCGATTTTTCCTACTCTAAAATTAAAACAACTTCCTCCGAAAGTTTCAAACAAACTAACACTAGCTACGTCTGCATTTTCTTGGAAATGAGCTTTGATCATTCTCAACCGGTTACCGTGTTCTCAACCGTTTATGACATCATTTAGACTCTTGTAAATCTTGCTACCATCTATGGGGTTGTCATCAATTGTCCCTATTTAATTTTGCTCATAAATGATGCAATCGTTGGATCTTCCCACAATGATATGCTACTATTTAGTCTCACATCAATGAAGTAAAGTTGTATCTGTGATAGGAATCGACTACCATACTTATTTTTTGCTTATAATTAGGGTCTCAAGACTGTCAGTTAATCATACATATTTGATGTGCCCACTCTATTTCGTTTAAGGTGATGAAGGACTGGCAGTTGAAATTTGTCGCAATGATATATGTAGACCTTACTTTTCCATTGAATGTCGCATATCCTTACTTCTCAAAACAAGCGATGTAGTTGATCGTCATAACACACTTTCACCACAGAATGTGAAATTCACATCTGTCCTGTGGCCCAAAGGCATACTGTACTAACAAAACTTGGGTTCGAGTCCCGCTTTTGGTTCAAAATCGAAATTGTAGTCCATTACTGTCTGGATGAGAATTCCGTTTGGCGGTGGAAAAATCTTTCTCCTGTGATAGAATTGTCGATGATGTATTTGCTGTAACAATTGGCTGCGTTACTCATGTTTTTTTTATAAGTAGGCAATATATGAAAACGTGTAGAAATTACACTCGGGACTGCCATAATTCGAGTCCCGCTGAGAATGCTGATAGGACCTGTGCAAGATTGAAACTGCAGTCTAGCCTGGATAGAAATAACGTCTGAAAAAGCAAGGCTTGTTTGAAATTCGCTAAAAATGTGAGGTCTACCCATATCATCGTGGGAAAAATTAGGCTGCCAGTCCTATTATCACCTTAAACTAAATCTGGCGACTTAAATTCATATAGATTTTGACATAGCGATAGTTTCAAAAATCTATTTTTAGACGAAATAAAAGCAAAGTGGTATCTGTTATATCAATCGACTGCATTACTCACTTTTCCGTGTGTATGTAGGTTTCCCTTTTGGGAAGTAGGGATATATCATTGTGACAAATTTCACCTGCCACTCCTTCATCACCTTGAACTAAATAGAATGAGCACATCTCATGTATATGATTAACTGGTAGTCTTTAGGCTCTAATTATAAGCAAAAAAATACATAATGCAGCCGATTGCTATCACAAATACAATTCTACTTAACCGACAATCTCACCACAAACGGTGATATGATAAAATGCCTGGCCTTGATTGAAATTCACATCTGTCCTGTGACCTAGGGTCGCTCGTGGCATTGTGGCGTAGTGGCGAAGTGGTTAGGTTGTTGAGATAATACGCTTCACCGTCACTCTGATGGTGCTAATGACACCTGAGCGAGGTCGAAACTGCAGATGAGAACACGTTTTGGGAAGCAAGGCTATGGAAACGTAATGCCTAATTATATCATTGGGGGAAAATTACACTGCCAGTCCTCATCACATTATATGAAATGGGTACACACATCTCACCTATTTGCTTTACTGGTAGTCTCCAAATCTTGCAAAAAACAAACAATGAGTTTTATGGGTTGAATGCTCTATAGCTACAATTTACCGCAGAGATTTTCATCAAGACATGTCTCAAACTGTCTTGCCCCTACTCACCTTTACCTTTTGAGATGTCCTCATTTGTAAAGTGGTCCAGATGATATGCAGTCTGGCTAAATTGCCAAACGTTTCATCTTCTCAAGTTCACTATCGAAGACAATACTCCCTATGGAGTAATTCTTCATATTATGGATTGAATACTAAACTGAAAATAAAATCCAACTATTGTCATGCTGGGACACTTGAAATGATGAAATGACAAAAATCCTAATTTTTCACAGTTACAAAAGTGGGAAAATTTGTCTATAAGTCGTTAAATCGCCTTAGCGATCTTGGGGGAGTTTTGGTCTTCTTGAAGACATGGTGATAATCCCACATAGAGCAGATATTAACACAAGTGAATGTGTTCTAGTTGATTTGCGGCCGAATAGCTACTAATAAAAAGTAACTTCTTTCGGTTGAAGATTCAGGTCTTGAATGCCCACACGAAGACAAAAGCTTTCCACCAGCATCAACAAGCTAGATTGTGCATGGTTTAATCTTATTTCTTCTATTGTCCTTTTCGGCATGAATCTTTGATCGTCTTCCTCATTCTGTATCCTCCAGTTCCTCATTTCTTCCACTCTTGCCTCGCTTTTCTGTTTCTAGACCCTTCTGAGTCTACATGTGTCTGTATGTATGTGTATGTGTAGATGAGAGAGGTTTTTTTTATTTTTGCAATAAGGGACTGACAAGTGTATATACGTGAGGCTGTACTGATCCGTCATTTCTTGCGATTTGCGCTGATTGAATCCATTTCTATGAATCATTTAGAATACCTTCAAGTCCTCCGTACGTCGGCCCTCCACCTGCCAACTTCTATCCCCGTCCAGTCTCCAAGTCAACCAGAGACCAACCAGTGCCAGTCCTCTCGGCACCAACACCGAAGTGTCTCTGGCGGCTTCAAACTTGTCTTCAGGGCTTGTCGTCTCTAATCGCGTCGGCACCAGCTCTTCTACGCCGGCAGAGATCTCCAATCTGTCCTGGGAGGCCTCGACCTTTTTGGCGCCTGGCCGGTCACCACATTCACAGACTTTTGCAGAAACCGGTGCTGTGGAGATGGGCAATGGTTCGCCAAATCTACCGAGGATATCGAATCCCGTCAGCATGGTACGTTTGTCCAGTTCCCAGCTCAACTTGCAGGTGGTGCCTGAGCTTCCTTTCGTTGTCAAATCGGATCCGGGCTCACATGCCGGCCAGAAGCCGTTGCTAGTCTTTCTCAATCCCAAATCTGGTGGCAATCAAGGCGTATTGTTGCTGCGAAAATTTCAATGGCTCCTCAATCCGAGACAAGTGTTCGACCTGTCGGAGGGAGGGCCCAGAATGGGGTGAGCTTGTTGGATAAATTTATGTTTCTTATGCAACCGAAGACTCTTTAGCCTACTAAGTTATCAGCCAAACCAGGTTGTTTAAGATGATTTGAGACTCGAATGTAGGATCGCCATTAAAATTATGTTAGTAAAACCTTCACAGCTGCCTTGGAGACACAAATATATGAAATTCAATGGCCGTTTGAGGCTTAATCATACGGTTTTTGGGAAAGGACCTGGCATCGCTTTTCAAATCTTGCTAAATTAGCAAAAAATCCTGATAATCATTTTTAATACTCATTTATTCAGCATTTTTAAACCCTTTTAAATCACGACCAAGTTAATTGGCTCTAAAAAATTCTGGTAATAGAAGTGCATACATGAGACATTATACGAAAATTTGACACGTGCACGACAAATTTATTTAGATTGGGTAATGCTTCTTAAGGAAAATTGAATTATATTAATGCTCATATTTTATTTTCGAAATGAGAGAGTTTCAATCGTATAAGTAAGTTTAGGTCACTTAAGGTGACCTGACTAATAATAATAATAAATTATTGAGCATATCAAAACTTGCTCACACAAAAAATAAGCAACCATATCAAATGAAATGACAAATACATTTTTGTTCTTTAAGAGAGGCTTGATTTGATCGCCCACTGACAACCGTAGCTATGCTTTAAAGAGGGCAATTTTTTGCAATTTCTACACCGATCCGAGTTCGAGTCCTGA